CACTGTACGCTTTAATTAACATCCTAGCGAGTTACACGACAAGTGATGCATAGATGCTTGGAGCAAAAGCTTGCCCTACATTCTCAATGAGATGACAATTCCAAAACTGGGGGAAAAAATCCGAAATGTGAATTTGTACTCGAGAATCTGGGATAACAGTATAAATTTGTGTCCATCTCTTCTTTCATCAAGTATAGTAGTTTGGAAAAAAATCTAGTTGGTTTGTATTACCATGCCGTCACGATTAAAGATATGGATCTTCGTTTTCATCGTTAATGGAAAGAAGACACAGGCTAAATGGGCGGTAAACCGCCGTTTAGGATGCATGCCGAAGTAAAATTAACTTTAGTCGTTTCGTCAATCCATTGTGGGCAGGGTCAGTATCAGTGCAATATGACAACCAGTTAAAACAGGTGCATGAGTTGTTTTCACCATATTTCGATTAAGGTGATGAAGGGCTGTTAGTTGAATTTTCCCACAATAATATGAATAGAGCTAATGTTTCTCATTGCATTTCACATAGCCTTGCTTTCCCAAACGTTGCTCTCATCCAGTCACATTACCACGAGTGCCCTTGGGTCACAGGGCAGATGTGAATTTCAAGGTATGTCAGGCATTTTCCATATCACATTCTGCGTTATAATTGTCGATGAAGCAAACTTCTATTTGCTAAAGCACTCGACGACATTAGTTGTTTTTTTTCGTAAGTCAATAGGCTTTTTATATTACCAGTAACCCAGATATATGAGTTGTGACATGAGATGGGAAATTCACATCTACCTGTGACCCAAGGGCACTCGTGGCAATGTGGGTTAGTGGTTAACGTGTCGAGCTTACACGCTGCATTGTCATGGTTCCACTCCCGCTTGGGGTGTTGAAAAGACCTATGCGAGGTTGAAGCTGCAGTCCACTCCAGCCGAGATGAGAACACCTTTTGGGAAAGCAAGGCTATGTGAAATTTAACGGAAAAAATCAGCTCTATTCATATTATTGTGGGAAAATTCAGCTACCAGTCCTTTATCACCTTAAACGAAATAGGGTGAAAACAACTCATGGATCTGATTTACTGGTAGTCTCAAAAACCTACGGTCTCAGGAGAACTGGTACAACATCAGTCGGACTCTTGATAGAGATGAAAAGAGGCTATCATATCTAACGGGCAGGCAATGGCATATATACAGAAGCATAACCATCCACACCGCAGGCAATCTTGAGCTGACTACTAACCCTGTGGGAAGAAGAATCCAGAAAGCCAGAACGATCTTGGCTGGCCTTTCACCATCCAGTGGCGAACGAAATCACACCGGAGTACCAGATCCTTTACCCAGGAACCGAGTGGCTTCAGGCTTGGATAGGCTGCACCAGACCAGTGCTCGGGCACAGCATTGATAAGAAAGGCAGAGTGGATGCGCTCCAGCTCCTCTGACATCACAACGAACCCACGGACCGCTTTTTTGAGTTGATCCAACGAAAGCTGAAGATGATAAAATAAGAGTAAATATAAGATGCGAATGGGGAATCTTTGTTAAATTCTATTATTTATGCAAAGAGAAGTTGGGTTTCGAGGAATCTTTTTTTTCATAATTGTTGACCTTTCTTCCATTTCGAGTGAGAGTGCTTAGTGAAGGAATTCGAAGGTCGATTCTATCAGAAAACGACGGTGGATTTCTCTTTACCGGTTGGCTTTACTGAAACAATACTGTTTTTTTGAATCGTTAGTTTGAATATGGTTGCAAGGATGATGATTTTCATCATACGATAGGCGAAAGCTTAGCACGATTTCACCAAAATCGAAGGAAATCTTCTTGAAATAAGCATCAACAACAATTTTCCAGTAAAATTACTCGATAACTGGTTCAAGAGGAATCCGCCGTCGTCTTCTGCTGGGATCGACCTTTGAATCTCTTCACCATACACTTTTGCTCGAAATTTTTTATTTATTGCGGAAACACCTCGTCCTTTGGACAATTCATTTGAAACTAAAACTTCCTCGTTAATATTATTAGCAGTTTACTAGATCGTCTCATGTTACACTAAGCTGATACGAGTAGTATTTAAGGTATAATCTTGTCCTAAGGTGCATTTTACAGCTGATGTACCAATACCAAAGTCTGTAAGTAAACCTACCAGATGTCCAGATCATTTGAAATAACCTTACTTATGTATGAGCAGAATAGAATCCAAAAAATATCCGATGTCTGATAGAAGACCGATCTGAGTGAAATCTGCAGTGTTGTGGAGACTTTCATTTAGTATAAATGTACATTAAATAGAGATAAGATCAATCTCAATGGCCTCGAACTTGATAATGGATGATTCCCGGTGTATTGTAGCTGTTTTGCTTTACTACAATGCTCAGGTTGACGTAGTCCACTAGACATCCTCCCTCGTTTCAAGTAAAAACCGGCTGAGCTTTCGTCATTCAAATGATGGGCATCCTCAGATCAAAAAGTTTCAGGTTACCACTTTCATACATAATAAAAGTCTCTCCAACAATAGTATTCTGGGAAATGCA